GATTCCTGGTGGCTCTCACAGGCCTGTGGCCCTATCCAAACTGTTACCATTCATTAGGCTGTAATGGCCCTTCACACTTTCATGCTACCACTGCCCGTTTCCTGGCTCTGCCCTGGGGTGAGTGAGTGAGGTCCACTCCCTGGGGACAGTGTTGCCCACACTGTTCAGGGCTCCACTACCTGCTGGCACAGTGCTGGGCCCTTGGGAAAGAGTTGCAGAATGAATCTAACAGCTGCTGCTTCTCCTGTCTGCTAATCTACTCTCGTTTCCACTACTTCTGTGTCTTTGGCCACTACTGTAAAATACAAAAACAATTTTGATTTAATTTGCTCTTAATTTTAACAGTTTTTCCCACAACACAAAAGTACATGTGATTGTTCTCTCTCCTTCCCCTCCTTCATCTTTCTTGCCTTCTCCCTCCTCTCTCTTGCCTTCTCCCTCCTGTCGTAGTTTTGACCTCATTTCTCCCTGTCCCACATATCTGAGGGCTTAGACATCAGGTGCAGACATCCTTAGCATTAAATTCAGGGTAGCACAGGTGAGGAGTGAGTGAGGATCTAAGGAAGCAGGTAGAACTGACCAGCCTCAGGCCATTTCCACCTGCTTTTGTACCTTCTCCCTGAGTATGGAGGCTCATGGGCACCTTGGATTCTAAGGAGCACCTCCTCCTATCCACTTCCTCCTGGCACCTGGGGCCATGATCCAAAAGGAGTGCTTGTAGGAGTGGTAAGGGGAGATGAACTTTGGGTCTCTAGTTCTTGGTGTGTCCTGCCTCAAGTTCATCCTTCTCCCCCACCTGGTGTTGATATAGCTGCCGGAGACACATATGGCGTCTGGTTAGGACTGTTAACCCATAAACATTGCCAGACCTCCTATACTATTAGGGAAATATGAACTCACAGCCAAAATAATACAATCTCTGCATAGTACAATTGTTTCAAAAGAAAAATCCAGAAACTGGATCATGGATGCAGGTTGTATTATAGCAAAGAAACTAAAAATTTGAAGACTTAAAATGAATGTTCCAAAAGAGATAGAAAGAGATGTTATTGATGAAGAAAAGTTCTTTCCCAGGATATTTTAGAGAAACTTTGTAATGACTGATGAGCTCTCAGACCAAAGACTCTAAGCCTGTTTAACCATTCTTGGGTGTGCCAAGGATGCCCATCAAGGAAGCAGAGACTGGGAAATGCCAACATCTGGGATTCTGCAAGGAGGAGGCAATTCACCTGTGCATTATTATGTAAACAAGAAAATAAAAGTGTGTTGTATTTTCTGTTTTGTTGTTATTGTTGTTTTTACAGGTTCAATAACCAACTAGGAGACTAAGCAACTAAGTTCATTCATTGCAATCAAACTTGACTGGAAGAAAAATTTCAAGTTGTTGTCCCTGGACAAATGCTTTGCACATCCCTCTAGTAAACTTCTAGTGAAAAGTCCTATTAGGGGATTTGTTTCAGCCTCCTCCTGCCAGCCATGTGACATTTTTAATAAATCCTTGTGACTAAGGAATTGTATGTCCTTATGAAGAGCAAGTGTGTGTGTGTGTGTGTGTGTGTATTTTTAGTTCTGTACTTACTGCAGTAAGCAGAGAGACTGAAGAATCCAGAGATTAATGATACTATTTATGGAGATGTTAATGTGTGGAGTTGATGCTGATAAGTCATCATTAACAAACACTTAGCAAAGATTCTGGTCTACAAAGATGTTTGATAATAAACCTGCAGGTGAAAATTTTGAAAGATTTTTGTGCAACTAATAAGATGATATTAAATCTTATTATGTAGGTCACAAGTTTATAAGCCCGAAGTATATATAAGTTAAAGAAATCAGACATCAAAAAATGCTAGGCTTTGACAATGATAAATGTGTTATGCATTCTTTGACAGATGGTGAAATTGTTGAAATGATAATAAATAGGTAAGTATAAGGATGAGAGTGTTGAAGATGATGACATTGCAAACAAGTGAAAAAACATGCTGAAAAAATGGTGAAACTATATACTATAGCTATCAATTGAATTGGATGACGATTGTGGCATAGGAAGGCAAGCATTTTATTCTGTGCTTCTGTCAGACTTTGTGACAGTGAGTAACATTTTCATAAGCAACTGAAGCTACTGACTAATTGTCAAAAAGAAAAATTTATCATCAGCCCTGATAAAAATAACATTAAAAAATTTTGGCAGAAATGGCCAACACATATGGATAACCTAAACCAACAAATTGACTCTTTCAAATACTTTTAGGTAAACGATGGTAATAAATACATTAGTAGCCACTTCTTAAAATTGTAGTTTAAGAATGATTATTTGTAATCAGAATGATTGATTAGTAATACCTATCTTTGAATATGTTCAGGTAAAATGACCTCCTCCATACTGTAAAACATTGACATCTTGATTCCCATCCTTGCATTTTCAAGCATTTGAGCTAATTTTAAGTTTTCTTCTAACTTACATTTTAAACTTAACATGAAGCTCCTCCTGGAGTTGTCTTTTTGTATGTGGGATGTCCTTCTCTTTGGGTGAAGATAATATGTTAGCCTTGTACATTTTTACAATAGAATGAATATTTGTTAGCTAGGGTATATGGCCCTGCCTTTAAATCAACAACATCAAGACCTGACATTTCATGCCCAAGAGGAAGGACTGAAAAAGGATTCAATGCAATATTCACTTGCTAAGACTTGTTTAAACCACATGATATTTTAGGGTGCATCTCAGTGACATGTTAACTAAGCATTCTTTAAATTCTCCATTTGAGTTAAGTTGGCTAAAGAAAAATTTTATATTGCCTTAAGGATCATGAAAAAGTCTGGAGTTAGAATTTATTGTTACACATTTAGCATTTTTAAAAAAGAATTTACATGCTTTTGTTATAGAACCATAGCAAATGCTTAGTAAATTATGTTATCTAATACAATTAAAAGAGAAACGGAGTTACAGATTCTAGCAAAATGTCTATTTCTTCAGGTGGTATTGTGTTTTCTTTATTTTCCAATTTAAAACTCTTTTATGTGGTTTGAAAATAAAACTCAGTGCTCAGCTATGATAGCCACCTTGTTCTAAATTTTTGATACATTTACTTCTTTTTCTTTGAATTATTTAGGTAGAATGTACTTTTTTGTTTTGTTTTATTTTTTGATACATATGTATTTAATCAATTAAAAGCAGTTTCTGGGAACACTGTGGAGAAGTCTCTGAGGCTATGTGCAGGTTAACAGAAAGCCACGTGATTTTGTTACAGGGTGTGTACAGTGGTTGAGGAAGCGATGAGTGTTGTTCTTTGGGCTGTCAATATGTAGTTTGTGTCCTAAATAATTTTTCTATTTTGGAATCTTATGGGGGCACAAACATTTTGGTTACAAGCAATGACTTTGCCTCGACCAAGCCCGGGCTAGAGGTGTGCCTTTCCCCCATACAGTGTGCACCGCATCCGTTAGTTGTGAGTTTGCCCACCCCTGCGCTCCCCACCTGACCGACACCCAATGAATAGTACTACCATGTGAGCACCTTAGTGTTCATCAGTTAGTACCAATTTGATGTCGAGTACATGTGGTGCTTATTTTTCCATTCCTGTGATACCTCACTTCAAAGGATGGGCTCAAGCTTTATCCAGGATAATACAAGAGGTGCTAGATCACCATTGTTTTTTGTAATTGAGTAGTATTCCACTGTACACATACACAATGTTTTATTAATCCACTCTAACCTTTAACTACTCATTTAATTGTCTTTATGTGTTTTAATATTTTAAATGTACCTCTTTAATAAAGTTGTAAACAAGTTTACTCTTCATCTGAAACAAAGAAAAAATTCTCAGTAAACAGAAGCCTAGTTTCTCTAGAAAGACATCAAATCATGTTTTTCCTGACAAGCACTGTGCTTGTTTTCATGAAGGATTCTAGCAGAAGTTTTGACTTAATTCAATTCAGGCAGTTCCACAGGTTGTAAGACCAGCTCTTCTTCATAGGTAGTTTTAGAGATTTCTTTGGTTGTCCTAAATTCGTGAGAAGTGTTCTAATTTTCTGCTTAAACTCAGCTGGGTTTCACTCTAGGGTGTTTTAGAATATGTAAGACTACACAAAGAAACTGATTTATCTTCTCTGCTCATGCCATTTCCCAATATACCACATTTGTCTTTTTAAAGGTCAGGCATGATAGAAACAGGCAATGTTTCTCACTTGCCTTGTTTTCTTACTTGTTGGTTTTTCATGTCAGAGTTCTTTGGAAAATGTTAATGTGAATTTCTATAAATGCAACTGCTCAATTTCACAGAGTATAATTTATAAAGAGTTCTAGGATCTTGGAATAAAAAGTGCTCATTGTGTCCAAGATATTATTCATATTTGTAGTATCAGCAAGAGCTGTCTCTTTTCTAATTAGTGACTTCTACCAGAGTCTCAGAAATTGCCTTAATTCTAAGGTCAAATATAGTGGATTATAATTTGCTGATACCTTACTGGGTTCTTTTTTAAAAAATTATATTTAAATTTGCATCTCTCTAGGATCTTTGTAGTTTTTCTCTCTCAAGAGAGCTATTAAAAATCTCCATTATTAGAATAATCTCCAAGAAGCAGCAGCATGAGTGACCAGCTGTGATTAGAACAGCCAAACTTCAGGGGAGGAAATTGCCATTTTCATCTAATTAAGAGAGGAGAGGTTTTTTGTTTTTGTTTTTGTTTTTTTTTTAAATACAGCATCTCATAATAACTGTGAAAGTGCAATGGTTAATGAAAGTACATAATTGCTAACAATAATTATTTTGAAACAGTAGTTCTGGGAATAGCTGAGAGTCCATATGAATGAGATAAACATTAACTAGCTGAGAGCATGTTTGAATGAGGGTACACATAAGAAAAAGAGTGAGGCCAAGAACCAGAGAGAAACTCATATCAAGTGGATTAAAGAACATTCTGATTTCCTTATAGAGCTTCCAACTACATTCAAAGAGATAGATAAAAATGAGAAATATAATATTAGATTTTTGACATTTCAGTGGTGGTGTATGAGATTCACATACACACTGGCACAAAGCCATGTGCAGAAACAGAGTCCAACGTATTTATCAATCTCATCGGCTCCAGAGGAGATACTGGGAAACGAAGGCTTCATCAAGCCCAAAACAACAAAGTCAAGTTTCAGCGTGGACAGGTAATAGAAAGATCTTCATCAATTCTTATCTATCATCCTTCCTCTAATTTCTTTAGAAAGACACACATGCAGATAGTTGCTGAGATGCCATTTGGTATCTACTGGGAAGTCCAGGGAGATGTGGTCATTCCTTGATGCACATTTTATCGTTCTGGATTGGGTAGAGGTAAGATTTAACCGGGAACAATGCAGCTGTAAGTAAGTCACAGTTCTTTCTTCTATTAAACAACAACAAAATTCAAGATTCTACTTCCATCTAGGGCAGACTAGATTGTAACAAAATGAACATCCTGCTGAGAACAACTAGAAATGTTTCATAAGACATCATTTAAATTGGTTTTAAAGGAATTGGAGAGCGACCCAGGCAGTTAGGACTTGAGGGCTCAGGGTCCTGGAGAGAAAGGAGTGCAAGGAGGACCTGGTATCAGTGCAGCTTTTTGCCATTTGCAAGCGGAAGCATAGAATCAAGAAGCCAATCAGAAAGTGGCAGTGGGGAGTCTGAGATGCTGTGCAGAGATTTAGGAGGTCTTATGGGGCTGGGATTCCAGCCCAGCAGTAAACTGAGGCTCTCATAAACCCATACCTGAAAAGTGGGGACCTTAGTGTCCCCTCCCACAGCAGAGCTAAACAGGTCCTGCAGGTTGTCCTTAGGGGAGGTGATCCCAGGAAGCAACAGTGAAGGAATGTAGAGAGTGAGAAGGAAAGAAGAGCCAATGGAAGTACACATTCTAGAGGTCACTGCTGTTGGCCGCAGGGACTGGATCCCTCTAGGACCAAGACACCAGTGGCTGAAGCAGCCTTGGGAGACAGAGCCATGTCCTAGGACTGTGCACAGACAGCCTCCATCCCTGCCATCATGGTTACTTCACCTGTGGGTCTGTTGCACAGCAGTCACTGGGGTGGCCAAGGCAAGGCTTCTACATAGAAAATTATAAAATATTACTGGGAAAATTTAAAAAGACATAAATTAGCCAGGCACAGTGGTGTGTTCCTGTAGTCCCAGCCACTCAGGAGATTTGAATATGGAGGATTGCTTGAGCCCAGCCTGGGCAACATAGCTAGACCCCATCTCTTAAAAAAAAAAGATATAAATTGATAAAGACATATACTATGTTCCTGAATTGGAAGACTCAATACTACCAAGTTCTCGCTTCTGTCTAATTGATCTGCTGTTTTAATGCAATACCAATCAAAATTGCAGGAAAAATTTTTACATAGCAATTGGTATCCTAATTCTAAAATTTATGTGAAAATCACAACCCCTATTTTACAGCAAATCCTCAAATCAGTTTTATGCAAATTTATGTGTAAATGTGAAAGGTAAAACAATAAAATATCTAGAAGATACCATATGAGAAAATCATGATCTTGGGGTAGACTAGCATTTTTAAAATTTTTAATTGTGATAAAATGCACATAACATAAAAGGTATCATTTTAACCATTTTAAAGTGTAAGGTTCAGTGGTATTAAGTATATTTACATTATTGTGTAACTATCACCACAATTCATCTCCAGAACTCTTTTCATTGTAAGAAACTGAAGCTCTGTACTCATTAAACAAGTTCTCATTCCCCTTCCCCAGTCCCTGGCAACTACCATTTTCCTTTACGTCTCTGAATTGACTACTCTAGGTACTCATATAAGTAGAAACATCCAGTATTTGTCTTTTTGTGACTAATTTTACTTAGCATAACGTCCTCAAGTTTCATGCATGTTGTAGCAGGTGATGGGATTTCTTTCCTTTTTAAGGCTGAATAATATCCCATGGTAAGTATATATCACATTTTGCTTCTCCATTCATTTCACCATGGATACTTGGGTTGCTTCCTGCTTTTGGTTGTTGTGAAAATGTTGCTATGAATATGGCTGGACAATTATAGACTAAGATTTTAAAGACAAAACAGAGAAAGCACTTAGCATAGAGGGAAAAAAGATAAATTGTACTATTTTAATATCAAAGATTTCTCTTCCTCACGACACTGTTAAGAGAGTAAAAATGCACATGGCAGAAGATAAATTATATACTACAAAAAGACTCATTTGCAGACTGTATATAGAACACCCACAGATCAACAAGAAAAGGACAGATAATCCAATTTAAAACATGAGTGTGACACTTGAATATGTACTTTACAAAAGAAGTATTCAAATCACTAATAAACATGAAAAACAAATCTAATCTTGCTAGTACCCAGGAAAATACAATGAAATCTATAATGAAGTGTTGCCGTGCATAATCACATGGTTAAACTTAAAAAGAATAACAAAAAAAAGAGTATTGATTAGCCCGTGGAGCACTTTGAACTTTCATATACTGTGCATGCAGAGTGTATATCAGTATAAGCATTTTAGAAAACTGAGATTAACTACTAAAGCTGAATATATAAACACCCTATAACCCAGATGCTCCTCAACAGAAACGTATGCAAATACTGTGAAAAGATAAGAACCTTCTGAGCAACATAATTCTAGGAACAAGGATTGGCCAAAAATAGTAGAATGGATAAATAGCTTGGAATAATATTCAGTAATGAAAATGAATAAAATGCTGTTGAACAAAACAGCATGGACAATTTCACAAATGTTGAGTGAAACAAGCCAGGCAGAAAGAGAACACACTGCATGGTTCCGTTCGTATATGATCCCAGGTGAGGCAAAATTAACTAAAAGTGTTAAAAACCAGGGGCATGGGTATCATTTGGGAGACGGTGACCAAAATGGGCCTGCCAGGGTCTTGGGTGCTGCAAAGGCTCTATTACTGACATGGATGTGCTCATTGAGTGTGCATTTGTAATTTGTATATATTGTGTTATTTTGTAGCATATTTTAAAACTTTATATGTGTATATGCACACATATTAATATTTTTAGTGTGTAATTTATTTAAAAACAACAGATACTGGGAGATAGAAAAACAATGGTGGAAAGGATGCACGTGGCGGCAGCCTCCCTGGGTCTGAGACCTGGCTCTGTCACCGCGCAGGTGTTGACTTGGGACAAGTGACTCTATGTGCCTCAGTTTCTTCAAGTATAAAATGAAAAAGTGAGTAATACTTACCTCATAGGTTGTTCTGAGGATCAAATGAATTGATATATGGAAGACTCTTGGCACATAGTAAAGACTGTATAAGCTACTATTATCATTAGCAGTAGTAGCTTTAAAATGTGTCCCAAAGGCATTTTATAAAACTTTTTACTAGACTGCATTATTCAGGAGGGCAAGAATTACACACTACATGTTTGCATGTCTCCCACAAAGCATAGTGTAGAACTTTGCATATAAAATATTAAATGGTAACTTTTATAGTAATAGTAAGAATAATAGTATAGTAGCAATATATAGTAATATATTAATAGTAATATAGTATTGATAAAAATACTATTTTTTCTTCTAGAGAAAGGAAATATCTAAATGGTCACTGAGTTTATTTCTTTATTACACAGGTTGATATTTTTTCCATAAAAGCTGTGTCTCTTGGAAAATTGAAGAAAGTTCTAATTAGTCATGATGGGACAGGTCCAGGTAAGATTTAGTTTCATGGTAAGAAGCTTGTTTTACAAAAGTATGAAAAATAGTATGAATGGCAGGTGAAAGAAAAATGTACAGGTCATATAAAATTGAGATGAGAATATAATTCTTTTATAGTTAAGTGAAGTTTTGTCAGGTTAGGTTTATTACATGCCTTACAAAAGCACATGGTTTTATTATTATGAAGGAAATTTCCTAGGAAGACAAAAGCTTTAGTGTGTGTGTTGGGTGTGTCTGTATGTGTGTGTGTCTGTGTGTGTGTTTGTGTGTGTGTGTATGAGCTCCAGACCTCCAGGCAGTCTTCACAGTTGGATCTGACATGTGTCCATCCTGCAGATGTGTTTGCCCTGGTCCTGTGTGCCACACTCAGCACACCAGAGACTCAGACATCATCCTTGATCCTCCCTTCCCCTTGTCGAATTCTGTCTGCGATGACTATCATCTAAGTCCTGTCAATTTCACTTCATTAGTATCTTTTTTCACTGTTTCTCCTAGAGCTATTAAATTCAAACTTCAGTTTGTTTGGCTCTAGAACCTTGTATTCGTTACTGCTAAAATACAGCTATATATTTTAACTATATCATAGTACTGAAGCCATTTTATTACATTATTACTATGTATTTTTTTTTATTTCTGCTAGATTTTGAGCTTTTTGAAGCTAGAAATTATGTATTATTCATCTTCATTCTCCCAGTGCCTCATACAGGCAATATAAATAGTTTAATTAGTAACCATTTATTGAATGAATGGATTTAAATCAGTGAAATGCTTTCCAATGAGCTCTTTAAAAGGAATGGGAAGAGCTTAAAATGGCCATGGCAAGAAAGAAGACTGCGTGTTTTCAACAGAAACCAAAGGGAAAGGAAGCAGAAAATGGAAGGTGACAGCGAACAGAAAGAACATAGACAGTTAAATGAGTTCAGGATCATATATAGGAATTGATTACAAAGAAGCAGGAATAAGAGATTGAGGAAAGAATGACATAATGGACTGCCTTCTATGCAAGGTGTCTCTACAGAAGGATGTCACTGTAGAGAAGTGTCACTGTAGAGGGATGTCTCCATAGAGGGACCTCTTTGTAGAGGGCCATTGCTACAGAGGGTTGTGACTCTCGAGGGGTGTCACTGCAGAGAGTTGTCACTATAGAGGTGTGTCACTATAGAAGAGTGTTACCGTAGGATGGTTTTACTGCAGAAAGGTGCCACTGTAGGGTGCTGTGCCTTTTAGATTATTTCCATGATGGGTGGAGATTTCCTGCTTTTGCACCAGCCTCCTTTGCAAACAGTGCATGGATGTGCAGGATAGGTGATTACAGTCACAGTCTTACACTTTGGCAGGGCTCAGAGCAGGGCAGTCATCAGAAACCCAAGGCTTCACCAGGCTCTAGTGTTTAGAAATTACTCTGAGATACCTCTTGGTGATAGGGGTAGGAAACATTGTTATAACACCAACCCGTACCCTAAAATGCCCAAGTTGAGGTGCTGTAGGGACAGCAGCAGCCACAACAAAAGGGCAGTCACTGTCATAGGTAAAGGAAGGAGAGTCAGGGCTTTGTTTGAAGGGGTTGGCTGGTTGTTTGACCCAAAGGATAAAAATGACAGAAGGAAAAATTAAAGGGACATTGTAATTTTAAATATGTTTTGGAGATAATTAACTCATATAGAAAAAGCTTTAATGGAGGGAGCAACAAACTTCCAAAATACTGAATTTTTTCAATGAAATATTTTTAACAAAAACCTGTGCAGGTACGGGAAAGACTTCAGTGAAATTCTCAAGGATTCTTTTTCTTCCCATTTTTACAAAGAAGCCATGGGAAACATTATTCTTTTAACATGGATACATTTGTGTCTATAGCTACCCCAAATATGCAGGCAAAGGCGGCTTAAAATGGCGGAATAGTAAGAATTATCTGAGTATCTTAAAACAAATAAAATAAACACCTGGGCCCACAACCAGAGATGTCCAAGGCGCGGAGTGAATTAGAAATGAGGATGCTGGTTGGTGTTTTAGTGGTTTAGCTGCAGTATGATGAGCAGGCGGTGACTAAGTCTTGTAGCGGTTACATTATATATGCCTTGCCCACCCAAGGGTCAGAGTTAGGAAGAGTGTACATCCCCAGGATGGGTGATGCCCACTGCACCGCATTAGTGAATAGACCGCAGCCCGCGGCCTCGCCTCCCGCACCCGCCCAGACACCCGAGGAGATGTGACGGACCATGATTGGCACCTAAGTGTTGATGAGTTGAATACCAATTTGATGGTGAGTATGTGTGGCTGTGGTGTTGGCGCCATCTTGGATACTTCACTTAGTAGGAATGGGCTTCCAGCTGCGTATCAGGAGTATAAAAGAGGGTGAGTCACCACTGTGTTTATTGCGCGAGGAGAAACTCCATGTACAGCATTTAGACTACAGTTGTATGAGTCGCAACGTCATGAGTTGAGGGCACGTTGGGTTGGTTCCAGCATTTTGGGTCGAATTGGAGTTGTGGCTTGCCCGGGTAAACATTCAAGGCAGATGCGCTGTTTCCGTAGAAGTCTTTGTGTTTCGTTGCGGGTAGCGATGTCCAGTAATGTATTTTGCTGGAGTCAAGATGATAGGTACCTGGGTAGCTCTATGGAAGCATCGGCGCATATGGCGTGGTCCACGATGTTTAGACTGAGTTGCAGTCTACGCAAGCGAGGTATGAGTGCCGTAGTCTGTCTTGAATCATGCACAACAGTGTATGGGTTCGAGCGTTTTCATAAAAAGCCGATTCGTCACTGAGTGACAACCTGGTTGTAGGGGATCAGGTGATGGTGGCTTCATAAAAGTGTGTTGAAGAGTCCTTCCTTCTCACTGCTGGGAGATAAGTGGTGCTGCGAGATCAGGCAGACGCTTCGTCTTTTGTAGGTCTGTAAAAGTCAGGATGAACCATCTGGGGGCTGAGCTTTGTCCTGCTGCGTGAGAAGTTGTGCATGCTGCGGTTGAATTCGGTGCGGCGACGTGAGAGGTGTCTGGGTTCAGGAATTCTAGTGTGTCTGCCTGACTGAGCCTGAGGGAGGCGTTGGTGTTTCTGAAGAAGTCTGGTGCCGCCATTGCCGCCACGTGTAAGGTGATATAGCATAGAGTTGGTCTGGTCCATAGTATGCATAGATTGATGATGTTGGTCGGAGTGATGCATGTGTTGAATCAGTTGTAATTTCGCCTTTGTTCATTGTGGATTGAGCAAAAAGATGCTGGTTGAGACTAAACTGATGAAGCAGGGCACAAGTATCAAGCTGTGCGACAGCAGTTAAAGCAGTCTGAGAAGCAGAAATTGGTATAGCCGAGAAATGCCTGACATGCCAAAAACAAAAAGATCACAAATCACAATCTGAGATGAATCACCTCCAAGAAAGCGAAAAAGCAGAGCAAGACCAACCCTAACCCAGCAGAAGAAAAGGAAATAATAAGAAATCAAAACAGAACTAATAACAATAATAGAAAACAGGACGGGATATGGAAGAGAATAAAACAAAAGTGTTGGGTTGCTTTGAGTGTTTGTTGCAAGAGGCAGCACTTTCGAGGGATCCTGATGAATGTGCCGTCAGACTGACTTTTCAACGGATGAGCCAGTTAGTTGCTGAGGCGCGCGGGGCAGCACTTGCACAAGGCAGGGGTCAGCTGCTCACAGCAGGTCCAGTGGGTGCAGGACACAGTGGAGAGGGAGAATTATAGTAAAGTTAGGGAGTAGAAGTATGAGTAAAGATTTGAAGAGTGAGCCTTGTAGACGGGTATTGCTGCCATTTGCAACGGACCTGAGCCAGAAGGACATAGGACCAGTGATTCTGCCGTTTAGTGTACCGCTGACGCTATCCCCTCCCGCTGGAAGTACGGTCCACACTGATAAGCCGTTGTTGTATTACGTTGATTTGTTAAATCTTTGCTTTAAAGAAGGAAGAGCTTTATAAGTCACTTTAGCATACGTTGAGAAGGCGTCTGGATAGTGCGCGTCGGTTGCTAAAAATGCGAGGTGCGCTAGTATGACAGCTGGGTGACGATGACCTTTTCCACTCAGATTCGTCAGTAGTGAGCGGTGAATAGATCAGGTAGTGCGACCACTATGGCGATGTTCTATGGATGTAGATCGTACATATAATCGAATCTAGGTCCATCTGCTGGTTACAGTGCGACAGTGTTTGGTCGTCAGTGGATGATTACAAAACAAACTAAACAAACAGCTTGCGGTGCGCTGCCGAGGGCACAAGAAGCAAGAGTGCTGTCTAGGAGGCGGTTCCAAACAGCAGGCAGAATTTTGCAGCCTCACCCCGTGCCCGGACATTGGCAATGTCTGGACGTTTTTTGGTTGTCACAACTGCAAGGGGCCACCAGAGTAGGGATAGAGTCCTGGATGCGGCTGACTGCGCCTCAGCACATCAGCACAGCCCCACAGCAAGAGAGTATTGCCAAATGTCAACAGGCGCTGAGCGAGATAAACTCTTGGTCCGGAGGGTAAATGTCAGAGAAGTCAAGCTAGCCGAGAGTGGATCAGGTATCTAGCTTCTATAGGATAAACTACTGTTTCAAAGAGGATACTAAGTTTTATCTTGACCTAGGATGTATCAAGAATTTCGTATCATGCATATTCTCACGAACACCTGGGGACACGTAATTGCTTACCTGTATTAAGTGGGCGTTAAACCAGTATTCCAGTGCCTTAATTTGCATTACCCTGAGTTTAGAAGAGGAGAAATTATTTGAGCTTTGTTATTGCATGAATTTCCTCTCTGTGGAAATACCATGTTCTTGTTATAATAGGTAAAGCAAAAAGTTGCAAAAATAGTTTGTAAAAAGATAGAGCTTATCTCACACTCAGGTACTAGCACAGAGGAAGGTGGTGGATAGCTCTGCCGCTGACGCCAGGGAGGACCCAGGGTCCAACCATCTTGATTGTCCCCATGCACCTAAATTCTCCGGGCGCTTGTGTGTCAGACCTAGTCACAGTACATGAATAGAGAGAGTCTTTTAAGCAAGA